TGCGTGTTGATCCAATAAGGGCTCAGTCAGTGCCATTTTTGCTCTCCGAAATAGCCGTATCCATTACCCATATTTCTGTTTGTGTGTAGGAGTCTCTTTCCCATGAAAGAAATCCAAAGTAATTTCTTTTTATTTTTCACTTTTTTTTTCTTCCCCCCCGTCCAGGGTCTGTAATTGATGCCATTTTTTTGGGCACTGCCAAATTGCTTTGTTGCTGTGTTTTGTTTGGCCATATTACAGAATCACAGAATCACAGAATCACAGAATCACAGAATGGCCCGGGTGGGAAGGGACCTCAAGGATCACGAAGCTCCAATCCCCTGCTGCACGCAGGGCCACGAACCTCCCCATTTCATAGCAGCCCAGGCTGCCCAGGGCCCCATCCAACCTGGCCTTGAACACCTCCAGGGATGGACGGGGCATCACAGCCTCTCTGGGCAGCTGTTCCAGCACCTCACCACTCTCATAGCAAAGAACTTCCCCCTGACATCCAACCTCAATCTTCCCTCCCTCAACTTCAAACCATTTCCCCTTGTCCTGCTGTTATCTCCCCTTTGAAAGAGTTGATTCCCATCCTTTCCTTGCTTTGGTAAATCACAGCTCAAGGTGTGATTACCCAATGCAGGAGATTTTGGGGTGTTCTGTGGGCACTCTCTGTGTCTGGAGATGGCACATGGCTGCAGGGCGATGCTGGGCTGCCCCTTGTGCTCCTCGTGTCCTCGTGTTCCATCCCCAATAACCTGCAAACTTCCAGTTGTGTTCATCCTACTACCGGTTCTCTCACTGATGCTTGATGTCAGTGCAAACCTTCTGCTCAATCCCCCCCCCCCAGTGGGCAGGACAGTGGTGGCAGCGCGTTCTTCCACCTTCCTTTCCTTCTGAAATCCTTCTCCTTCCCTTTTCTTGCAGGTTTCCCTTTGGCTTATGCGTCCCCAGCACCGAGAGCCCTCACCCTGCCCTCATCCACCCTCTGCTGCACCTCCTCCTTCCCCTACAGACAAACGGGATGCCCCAAAAGCATCCCCATGCACCCTCCTTACCCCCACCAACGTATTTTTCTTTAAACAGCCCTCGCTGGGACTTTTCTAATAGCGTAGATATTACAGCTGATTACCATCCTATTCATATTTGGCTTTGAATTAAAGATTTCTTTTCCACACCCTTCTAACCAGCAGGGAATGGCATCCAAAGCAGTGCTGGGAGCACATCCCACAGACAGCATGGGCTCCTCGTGCCTCTCCTCCCTGCCATGAGTGACCCACGAAGAGGAAGGAGGAGGAGGCGGTGGCTCGGCCATCAATAATTCAAACCCTTCTGCAGAGCTGAGCTGAGAGGAGAGTCCGGTCCATAAATGCGGTTTCATGTTTTCCTCTATTCAAAAAAACAAAATAAAAACTGCAAGCAGAGCGTCTGCTGGGTTATGTGTGCGAGGGACGTGGTGACCTTCCCTGCTGGAGGGGAGCCAGGCTGGAGGCGCTGGGTGGGGGCTGCACTCCTGCTGTGCTGCGGGGGACGATGGTGTGCCCAAGCCTGGTGCGAGGCCTGGAGGGTCAGGGGAGGATGCAGAGCTCCTGGAGCTGCTGATCTTGGTGATCTCCGTGTCCTGGAGGTGAGCGTGGAGCCGGAGCTCAGGGTGGGCTGCGTTCCTCCAACCTTGCCTACAGCAGGGGAGAGAGGAAGCGGTTTGTTCCCTTCCTCTTTCTTGGAGCCTGGCGAGGCCGTATCGATCCCTGCGTCCATTTGCTGACGGTGTTGAACTCTCCTGGAGCATCCGATGGTTGGAAATGCTCCGAGCTGAGGGCCAGCAATGTCTGCAGCAGCGACTTCTGTGGGGTGTGCAGCACAGAACTCAGTAACCCCACACGTCAGATAACCCCCCCAGCTGCTGCTCTCCTTATCACTTTATCTCTGGGATGTCTCCCACCCTCCCCCACTGCTCGTATCCCTCCTGCCTCCTCGTGGCCTTTCCCATCGGGCTGAGCCAGGTTTCTAAATGTTAATTGTGTTTTGACGTTCTTGACGCTGCCGTGAGCACCCGTGATATTTTGGCTCCTGGCTGACAGCAGGGAGAGGATGGTGAGAAATGGAGCTGCACATCCGTGGGGCTCAGGGAGGAGAGATGCTGTGTGGGTGGGGGGGAGAGCATCCCTCAGGGCTGGGGGGGATGGCTATGGATGTGGATGTGGGTATTTCCCACTGGAGCTTCCCCCCAGCTGCTGGAAGAGCTGCCAGCCATGGAGCAGTGCTATTTTTCAGCAGCCAGGTGCTGCTTTGCCCAGCTTCACGCTGTGAGCACAAGGGCAAGGCGATGGTTTATCCCCCAAGTTGTCTTAAGAGACCTCGAAGTACAAAGACGTGGAAATGGAGCAAAGGTTCTCATGCAGGTCTGTTTCATGAGTTTCCACAAGAAGTGAGAGCTGGGGTGGAGGGAGGGATGTGCCCAAAGCCCTGCTCTCACTCTGTTGCCCTGAGGTCTCTGCTCCTGCAGGTGGTGGTGGCTGCATCAGTATGAAGAACGCAGAGTGTCTCTAGTGGAGAACGCTGCTGGTGACGCTTCAGCCCAAAGTTCTGAGCAGTTTTAGCTTCCCTCACGATTTCTTGGGTCTTGGACAAAGCAGAGCCACATGTCCATATTGCCCTGCTGCAGTAAGACCCCAGTCCTTCACCCGGATGCCCCTGAAATCCTGCTGAGGTGGTGGAGGGCTTCATCCAACCCGAAGAAGCAAGGATAAGGCTGACCTTAGGGCACCTCCGAGAGCTGCTTTCAGTGAGGGGATTTGTGCCTGGCTTATCCCAAGGCAGCTGCAGCCCCCCTGAGCCCCATGTGCATCCCACATGAGCTTGGGGAACTGACAGGACCTGGATGGGCTGCCCTAAGGCTTTGTCACACTGGGGCAGGCAGGGGTGTCCTTGGTGAAATTGGGCACCAGTGGGTGTAGCCCAGATTCGTGTCATTTATCTCTGTCCTGCACCAGGCTGGGACAAATAACCCCTGGTGCATCCTTACACTGTCAGCCAGGGTGGAGAAATGGGGTCACTCCACCTCTGCACCCCTAAATGTCCCCAGGGGAACAGCCAGGCAGACACATCAGTCTGTTTTTTTCAGCCTTATTTTGGAAATAACCCACAGACCACAAAGATGGACAGACGCCGGGTCAGAGCTGCTGGCCTGAATCTCTTCTTGGGATGGGACCTTGTTATCAGCAGGGCAAAGCACAGCCCAGAGCTGCGTTGTCACAGTCCTCTTGCGTCCCCTTCCCATCACTTGTGGAGAAGGCAAAGTGCAGCAGTTCTTTTGCTTGAATTGCAGCTGGGTGCAATGCATGACGTGGAGGGCTGGAAGGGCCCATCCCCCCTCCAGGGCTGCCCTCCTCTGCACCAGAGATGAATGCCAACGAGAACCACTCTGGCTCTGGCTGGATATGAGATCACTGCAACGGCCCGATCTGTCTGCAGAAGGCAGAGCTCCGGCTGTGATCCCGTGAGCATCCGACTCCACGGGAATTTTGCCACTTATTTAATGGCAGGAAGGCGGCCAGCCAGCTTTCCAGGAGAGCGTCTTGCTGGGCAGCACGGAGCTCCTCCAGAGCCTGGCCAGGCTGTTGTGTTGGGAGCCAGGAGGTCCAGAGTGTTTCTGGGACACCGGCTCCTCTCCAGCATCCCAAACAGGGTCTGTCCTCCAGCACTGCCAGCACTGAGCCCTCGGCTGCTGCATCCTTCCACCCAGGGCTGTTTTGCAATTCCATGCGGGCAACACGAATCAACTCTCAGCGAAGATGAGGCTGGAAATGGGTGCTGGAAGGGGCTGTGTTTTGTCTTTTGAGGCAGGTGGAGCTGCAGCATCCCCAGTGTGCAGGGCCTGGGGTGTCTGAGCACATGCAAGGTGTGCTCTGTGAGTGCTCCAGTGACCGATTATCTCACACTCATTACTGTGATGGATTGGAGCAGTTAATGTGTCAATGGTCATTACTTGGGGGCTGTGTTTTCTCTAGATTAATGAATCGACGCGACACGATGAGCTCCTCAGAGCTGCCAGAGCCTGGTGGGCTGTTTAATAGCAACAAAAACAAGGCGATGCATGTGCACATCCATGGGAAAGTGCACAGAGTGGGTGACTGAGAGAAGGGCGGCAGCCCAGGCTGGTGTTCTGGTGATTTCATTGTGAGAAGGTGAAATCTGGGGATGGCAGACAGTGCACACACTGGGAGCTGAGCCCGGTCCTGTGCCCACCCCTGGGATTGGAGGGTCCCTCAGGGCTTGGCAGAGGCTGCAGCATTTGTAGCCCTCAGTATTCTGCTCCTCTGCTCCTGCAAATGCTGAAATTAGAGAACTTGACCCATGAGGTGTGGGAAGCCTGGGCTCCTGTCGGTGCTGCTGCTGTGCTCACGGCTCTGCCGAAGGCTGCAGGTGACAGGAAGGGACGGGAGGAGAGAATGAAGATGAGCAAAATCCATCTTGATGCTCCGTGCCAGGAGGGGACAGGGCCGGGGGGCGCGACAGTGTCACGACGGTGTCAGCTCCATCCTCCTCCCGCTGCCGCGGTGACCGCACTGCCGGGGGTGGGGCGGGCGGGGGTGCAGCTGATCCCCCCTCCCCGGCCCAGGGGGGGCAACGGGGAGCTTGGGGCGCCCCATCAACTCCCTCCGCCCCCCCAACCCTCCGCGCTGCGCTGCTGCTTTAAAAGGCTGGCAAACCCCGCGGCGGGCTTCCCAGCGCTTCTTCATGCAAAACTTCCCCGGCCCCAACCCTCCTCCTCCTGCTGCTCTTCCTCCTCCTCCTCCTCCTCCTCCTCCTCCTCAGCGCGGCTGCGGAGCGCGGCGGGTCCCGCCCGGCTGCGGCTCTCTCGGCTCCGGGCCGGGGCCGGGGCTGCGGGGGGGGTTGTCCCCGGCAGGGCTCGTTCCCTCCGCATGCCGCAGGGCCCCCCCTGGCTGCCCGAGCCCCCCCCGGGGCCGGAGGCGGCGGCCGCGGCCGGAGAAGGGCTCGGAGCCGCCGCCAACTTCGTGCGCTGCCCGCGGGTAAGTGCGGGGCGTCCCCCCCCTCAGCCCTCCCCAAACCTTCCTGCAGAGCGGATGCCCCCTCCTCCCTTCCCGCAGCCCCGCTCTCTCTCACCGCTCTACTCCAGCATTCCCCCCCCCCCCCCCCCCTGTTTGGGTAATTATTAAATAATTTTTAATTAAAGGTGGAGGCTGCGGCGGTGGGGGTTGCAACACGGAGCCCCTCACTCTCCCTCCCCCCACCCTCCCAACCTCTCGGTTACAGCTTGTCCCCAGCGGTCGGGACCCTCCCCACTTCACTGCATTATTAGCAGCGATGGGGCAGCAGCGCTCTGCCCCTCGACTCCCCGCTGCACCCCGCGCTGCGGGACACGGAGAGGGGGCACCGCACGGCTCTGCCCTGATCCTGGGTGGGGGGGACTGGACATGGAAGGGGCTCGGGGCGGGGGGTGCTGCCCTCACATCGCCGCAGCGAGCACGGCAGCACGGCAGGGGCCGCAGAGCTGACAGCAGGGCAGGGGGATCCCGGGGGTGGGAGTCCCCATTGCAGCTTGAGGGTGGTTGGTGGGGGCACAGCCTCACCCGGAGCTGCAGCAGCCCCATCTCCGGGCTGGGAGCCGCTGTGCACACACGCAGCTCGCGGGTTTTGTTTTCCTCTGTCTCCTCTCGGTTGTGTGTTTTTTTTTTTCCATTTTTTTTCCATTTTTTTTTTTTTCTTTTTTTCCCTGGTTGAGCGGTGCGGCTGCGAGAGCCGAAGTTGGCAGCCGTGGGAAAAAAGCGGAGAACTCTCCCAGCGCCTCCAAACGCGGCCCCACCGCTTTCCTCCTCCTCCTCCTCCTCCTCCTCCTCCTCCCCCGGTGCGATGAGTTGGCCGTGCTCTGCCACTCTCCAGCTGCCCCAGGGGTAGAGCTGCTGTCTTCGGCGGTGTCTCCGGTGGAGAAAGGAATGTGTGTGTGTTGGGGGGGGGGGGGGGGCCGCACCGTGTAGGTGATGTGAGGCTGGGGGTTCACAAAGCCGGGCTGGAGGGGTTGGAAGGGCTGCCTGCGTGCTGGCGGGGAAGGATGGAACGGAACCGATCTGTTGAATGCAGCGAGGAGCTCAGGCAAATGCCAAGAGAAGTGCCAAAAGAAAAAGCTTTCTTCCTTCCTTGCCGTCGCTGGGTGGGAGCGGGGATTTTCTGCACTGCTGCGGTGGGTGAGGAGGGGATGCGTTGGGTCCCCAGTGCAGAGCAGCTTTGCGAGGGCAGCAGCGGGCTCTGGTTGCCCTGGCTTTGTGGATATGGGCAGATCTGGTTGGGGGGCTGGGGCAGGCTCCGAGCTGGGGCTGTTTCCCTGCACGCCAGGGATGCAGAGAGGGGCTTTCCCGGTGGGTTTTCCACCAGGAGCTGAAGCTGTGCTGCAGCTGCAGGCTGAGCCTGCATCCCGGAGCACGGCATCGCTGGTTGGAGGAGCCCACCGGCTCCCCAAAAAAAGGGCATCACGTGCCTCAACTTTGGCATCAGGCAGGAGGAGGATGGATTTGTCAGCTCAGCCACCCCCTTCCAGCTCTTCCCAGAAAGGCAACGGCTTGAAGAAGTGGCAGGTCCTAATTATAACACGCACGAACCCGCTCCCTCCGCCCTCCCCATCTCTGAGCCCACCGTGGGCACCATCCCTTGATCTCGGGCTTCATGTCTTGTGGTGGGGTTTCCTCTTCAGAGTGGCCCTGGATTTCCCGATGGCCTTGCACCACGCCTGGCTAAGGATGGGGGGTCTCTGTTTGCAGGGCTGGATGCAGGCAGAGGTTGATGCTGTCAGAGGGGGAACTCGGGGTGCTGGCACAATGGGGAATAGAAACAGCGCACAGCACTGCAGGCATCACTGGGCACCAACATTTCAGCCCTTCCGAGCCATTCCAGTGTGCAGAACTGGGGGGTTTTGCTGTGTGTGGCAGAAGCAAGGCTCCTTCCTCCCCTCTTGGAGCTGCTTGCTGGGTGCAGTGGGAGCCTGGTGAGGCGCGGCGCTGCCGTCGATGCTCTGCAGCCGAATCCTCCTTCCTCGCCTTCCCCTCACTGAGAGCCAATCCTTCAAAGTGAGGGATTAGCCGTGGCCTGCTTTGCAAAGGGAGGGGGAAGGAGAGCCGCTCGCCTGCAGTTAAGGATATATATATATATAGTGTGATAAATATTCCTGGAGTGATCCGCGCCCAGTGGGAGCTGCTTTTGTCCGACTGCAGCAGCCTGCAGGGCAGCGTGGAGCGGTGGCACCCAGCGTGGGGCTGCTGCTGTCCCCACATCCGTGGGGCTGAGTGGGGGAGCATCAGCCTTTCCTGCATAGCACCGAGCGCAGCAGCAGCAGCAGCAGATCCTGGCGTTTGCAGGACCGCACAGAGCCGAGCGGGTCGGCAGGGCTGGGGTTGTGCAAGCGTTGTGATATCTATCAGTCTGTGCATCCATCTGAAGGGGCTGCATCCCAGGGTGGATCAGGTGAGTTTTTGGGTTAAAATGTGGGGTTTCTGCTTGCTGCTGCCTGCTGAGCCGTGGCTTTGCGAACGCTGGGGCACTCGACCTGAATACTTAAGTTTTTCCCTGGCGAGAGAGAACTTAACCCAGCATCTCCTCCTTCACCACGTCTAAATTCTGTTGTGCTTCACAGCGGCTTTGCAATTAGAAAAAAAAGCAGGACCCAAAGCTAAGTTCCCTGCAATAGCTTGCAAGTGGGGAAGAGCAGTCGTGAGCTAACTGGGATGTTGTGCTGCGCGCCGCCTGTCCTGCCTGCCGAAGGATGAGCAGGTGGGCAAAGAAATGGCCTTGATTTCCAAAAAGATGCCAGTGAGCCGCATCAGCATCGTGGGGGCATCGCTGGGGTCTGCCTGAAGGGACGGGTGTGGGATGCAGTGGGTTCCCATTGCTGTCCTGCGTTGAGCCTCCAGCTCTCCATGGGACGCAGACGCTGCGCCTCTCGGCTTTGCCCGCAGTGATGGAGCTGCTGTGATTAGTGCTCAGCACTTGGGCACATGAGAGCTGAACATGCTTGCCTGCTGCACGGAGCTGATGGCAGTGCAGTAACTTCATTTTGACCCGGAGAGAAATGGCCAATTTCTTCCTTTCTTTCTTGGTTTTCCCTTTGAAGGAGCTTTTGTGTTGCTGCAAAATCCCTGTGCCATTGAGGCGGCTCTGCTCCTTGGGCAGGGCTGGGTGCCCCCTTAGGGTTTCCATCTGAGCCCCACACACTGAGCGCAGGGTTGTGGGTTTTGAGGCCGCTCTCCTGGCAGCGGCAGTTGCAGACATGGGAGGTTTCTGCCTGCTTCTTCCTGGCTCGGAGGCAGCACCGGGATGGGGAAGGGAAATTTTGCAAACATCTCTGGTGGTGCATTCAGAGAAGGGATCCATCTGCCTCACCCAGAGCTGCACCAGCCTTGCTGCCTGCAAGCTGCTTGCTAGATGGTCTTTGAGGTTCTTTCCAACCCAAGCCATTCTATAAGTCTATGATTTTCACACTTGGAGGAACTGAGGTTGGAACAACCTGGTGAGGTTGAAGGTCCATCTCTGGAGCCCTGCAGCTGGGGGTGCAACACTGCCCATGGCGTCCCTGGGCTCCACAGCACCCGACGCACCTCAGCTGTGCCTCACTGCAGCTCCGGTGCAATGCTCACAGCTGCAAGAGCTGAAGCCTGCTGGTGGCTGGGGAAGGCTGTGTCAGGGTGGGTTCCTCAGTGGGCATTGGCAGCAAGGATGGCAATGCCACAGGGATGGCTGGTGGCTCGGGAGCACGGCCGCCACTAGAGGGGGGCAGGATGACACCGTGCAGCACCTCCTCCGCTTCCTCAGGGTGCTGGGGCACCTCCTCCTGCCCCCTTGGTTCTCACTGTCCCGACATGGTTTGGAGGCAGCGAGATGCAGCACTGCCTACTTATGCATCTCTGGGTGCTGGTTGAATTTATCCGACCCAAGCAAGGCAATAATCCGTGGGATTTCCTGCCGGGTCTGGAAATATGCTTGGCTGGGATTACTCCTCGCACCCTATGCCAGGTCTCAGATTTGAGCATTGCAGGGCTGGGATGAGGGTGAGGGTTTGTTCCTCACCAACAAAGCGCTTGGTGGAAACAAGAGGCAGCAGCCTTGCTCCTTAGTCAGGATGCATATGCACACCGAGGTGCTTGCGAACATGCATGCATTTTTTCTCTACTCATGGTGAGCCCTGCTGTGCAAACAGCACCATGAGCACAGCTCCACCACCTCACTGGTGGAGTTCTCCACCCCACCGAGTGCTCAATACAGGTGTGCCTCTCCATCCAGATGTGCAGGAAGAACTGCTCTGGGAGGTGCAGGGGATGCAGCTCACATTTGCTGGGAGAGGGATGGGCTCCTCCTCAGTCTGATTTTTAAGGCTAGGGCTCCTCATCCAGCCTTGGAGAAATGGCTTCTCATCTCCTGCCCCTTTTGATGAGAGCTCCGTCTGCTTGCAGCACAGGCTTGTGCAGTAATTCAGGCTGCATCTCCCTAATGATTCAACAGGGGATTCAAACCAGCTCTCCCCTCCCCATTATTTGTGATTTTTCTTGCCTGCCATGATATTTTTACCTTCAGTTCGTTCAGACTGTATGATCAAAGGAGGCACAAAAGGGAGAGAGCAGAGAGGGAAAAGCTTACAAGAAGAAAGGCAGAGGCTGTGGGCTCTGGGGGCTGCAGGCTGGGGGGGAGCAGCTTCTGCTCCGAGTGGGGCTGCGTGGAGCTCCGACAGCAGAACTGCAGCCCCTGGGGCGAGGGTACAAGAAGAGACCCAATTGCATCTCCTGGGTGCAGGGGTGCTTCCCTTTGCCCTGCTCCCTGCACAGGATGGTGCTTGCAAAGCCCCAGAGAAGATGGGACTGCCCCTGTGGAGTTATGGTCCTTCCCCTACCCCCATCTTGATGTGATGCGCTCACAGGAATGGGACTGTCCTGCTGGGAGGTGGCATTGAAGCTGGGGCAGCTTTCGTGCTGCAGCACTCCCCAGCTGCTGCCTTGGGAAGCACAGAGCTCAGCACTGGGTAATTCTGGTTGTCTTAAAAGCCCCAGCTGTCAGAAACGCTTTGGAGATGGACCTTCAAGTGGCTCCGATGGGCAGGGATGTGCATAATTCATGGGGGTGAGTTGAGGCAAGGGCCCTCCCAGCCGGTGAGGCTGCAGAGCTCTGAGTATCCTCCATGGGTGTAAAGGGACTCAGCTCCATCATCACCCCCATGGGGCTGCGGTGGGTCCAGCCCAGCAGGTGCTGGGTGCTGAGCTCTGTACCAGAGCTGAGATTAATTGAAGCTGTTCCGTGGGCTGTTCCAGCCCGTCCTACTTGGGGAATGCATCTGTCTGCTGTGCTCTCTGCTTTTTGGTGCCTTGCATTAATCATGCGCTGCCCTTGCAGCATCGGTCAGCAGCTGCTACAAGGGAGCACCCATCCCAAAGGGGAAACAGAGGCAGGGGTCTGTTGTGGGGCAGGGACGCCTCCAGGAACAGAAGGCTGCAGGTGTGGGTGTGAGCACAGCCTGACACACAGCCCTGTCTCAATGAAGGGTGCCAAGCAAGCCCTGGGCAGGCTGCTCCTCTCCTGTGGACACCTAGCTCAGGGGGCTGAGCACGTTTGTAACCAGCTGCTCTCAGCTGCTTTTAATTTGAGCCAAGCATCGGCTCACCTCCCTGGGGCAGGCAGGAAGCCAAACCTTCCTTGCAGCTCGGGTGAACCCTCAGTGCTGTCAATATTTGCTGCTGAAAGCTGTCAATAATTGCTGCTTGCAAGAAAGCAGCAGCCGATGCGGAGCTCAGCAGCCTGAATGAAAAGCAGCAATGCTTAGGGGGGCATTTTGGATACATAATTCCTGGTTTCTTCAGTGCACAGCCAGATCAGCTTTTGCTTAAACCCTAAATCAGCTCTGAGACTGCTTGGTTTGCAGCATAGTGCTTGAGGTGTGCAGTGGTCATGGTAGGTGGTGGGGAAGTTGTTGGGCTCCCCTGTCTCCGGGATTGAGCTGTTGGGCACCTCCATTGCTTGGCCTCATTGTGCAGGGATGAAGGCAAGCTGCTAATGGCAGCAGCCTGCATGTGGCAGGGCTGTGGATGGGGACTTTAGCAGTCTGTGAATCAGGTAGAAGGCATGCTCTAGGACAGGAGGAGTCAGAGCTGTGGGTGCATTTGGGTTTGCCTCTCTCTGAGCACTGTGCTGAGACTTGAGCCAACCCACCAGCTCTTCCTGAGAGGCTTTGGGATGGGATGGGATGGGATGGGATGGGGTGGGATGGGATGGGGTGGGGTGGGGTGGACCCTGCTGCCTCCCTGCAGCCCATCCAGTCTCCCACCTGGCTCCGCTCCAGGAGCCATGCGAGCCTCTCTGCCCGAATGAAAAAAGTCCCATATCCCAAATTGTTTCCTCGGATTCTCTGATGAAAGCTTGAAACAGCCAAATCCCTCTCCATGCTCCTGTTTAATTTTCTTTCTCTCACTTCTCCCTCCCAAGGGCTCTGCAGGAAGGACCCGAAGCTCTGCTTGGGCTCACATCCCTGCCTCCTCTCCGCAGCGTAGCAATGCCAGCCCCAACACCCCATAGCAGCCCCACCACTCACTGCACGCGGGGGGCTGGCGTCACCCATGGGCACCACTGAAGGAGCCCCCGGAGCCATGCTGCCTGCCTGACCGCTGCCGGGTTTCGGGCCGCGCACTCTGCCCCAGCACGGCTTCGGCGATGAGCGGGGCTTCTTTTTGCATGGAGCGTCTCTCTTTCTGCCTCCTCCTGAGTGCCTGGAGCTGGGGTTGGGCGCCCGGGGGTGCCGCCAAGCCCAAGGGCCAGGGCTACCCGCACATGAACTCCATCCGCATTGACGGGGACATCACTCTCGGGGGGCTCTTCCCCGTGCACGGCCGGGGCGCTGAGGGCAAAGCCTGCGGAGAGCTGAAGAAGGAGAAGGGCATCCACCGCCTGGAGGCCATGCTCTTCGCCCTGGACCGCATCAACAACGACCCCGACCTGCTGCCCAACATCACCCTGGGTGCCCGCATCCTGGACACGTGCTCGCGGGACACGCACGCCCTGGAGCAGTCGCTGACCTTCGTGCAGGCCCTGATTGAGAAGGACAGCACCGAGGTGCGCTGCGTCAATGGTGGGCCCCCCATCATCACCAAACCTGAGCGGGTGGTCGGCGTCATCGGCGCCTCAGGCAGCTCTGTCTCCATCATGGTGGCCAACATCCTGCGGCTCTTCAAGGTACGGGTCCCAAAAATAGGGGCAAAAGCAACTGTGTGGGGAAAGCACCACGCTCGTTCACGCTTCCTTCTTCCTCCATGGCTGGGGGCAGGCAGGAACTCTCATGAGCGTCTTTAAAATCATTTTCCTGCCTCCCCCATGTCCCCAGGGATCCCCTCCTCCACTCCCTCGGTGGCAATGCTGCAGCAGCAGGGCTTTATCTCAGAGGGTGGGATGCTGGCGCTGCTGGCGTCGGCAGGGATGCGGGATGGAGATGGCTTTGCAGGGGACGTTGGCTGGGATGGGGAGGTTGGATGCAAGATGGGACCACAGGACATGGGGGGCTCTTTCTTGCCACTTCTATCCCTGAGTGAGTTGCTCAGAGCTTGGTTCTGGTGGATCTTCAGAGCCCCAAGACAGACAGTGCTTGGGTTGGAAGGAGCTGTGTTTTCATGCACACCATCCCAACGTGGGTCACAGTGGTGGATGGTTCAATAAGAAGTTTTTGGATTATACACCCGAAATGTAAGGTCACACCAAGTTGCCAAGTTGCTGGAGGTGCATTTGTTGCTGGGATGGAAGCAGCTATTGCAGGAGGGGATGCCTGGTGCTTCAGCCCAGGCACAGTGTGGGGACAACGCTGCATTCTGCTGCTGGTCAGGGTGTGCAGCGGGAGCAGAGTGCTTGGGGCCATAGCATCATCTGAAGGCTGGCTCTCCCTCTGTTCCAACTGCAGGAAAACCAAGGACTTCATAATTACATCCCTCACGCTGTGCATCTATTTATCCACAGCAATGTCCTGGGGCTAGCACGAGTGTTTGAGCAAGAGCCCCTTTAGCAGCAAAAAGCAGAGAGCAATGCAAACAGGCTGTGCACCCTGCAGCGCTGCATGCCCTGAGCCATGCTCTGGCTGCTGCCTTCCCTTTGTGAGCCCCCAAAACCCTCCCTTCCCGCAGGGCTGGCTGCCTCCCCCTCCTCGTCCTCTGCCTCCCCCTCCTCGTCCTCACGCTGTAGAGTGCTGAGCCCTCCTGGGAGGGCTGGAGGCTGTTAGCAGAGCCTGAAAAACAGATCGCTGATGGAGTTTGATTTTTCTGGGTCCCTTTTAAAAACGTGTTAATGTTCCAGGCGACGAGCGAGAGGGCTATTCAATAATTAAAATAATATAAATTAGAGGGAGCGGGAGGAACTTAAAAGCTATTTGCTGAGACAGAAAAGATTGAGCTCTTGCTTCAGAGAGGGAGGCAGGGAGGAAGGATGCAGCGGAGTGACAGGCGGAGTAGTGAAGGGAGCTGCATTGGGTTTGGGTTATTTTTCCCCTTTCTCCCCCAGTTTGGTTGCTTGGGTGAAGCAGCTGTGACCACACATTGGGGATGCAGCTCAGCCCCGCTGCACCCACACGGCAATGGTGCTGGTGACCCAGCAGGGACGTGTCACCAACCCCAGTGTCCCCATTGCAGCCCCCATCTGCCCGCCAGGCACTGGGGATGGGGACATTGCTCCCACAGGGCTCTGGGTCCATCCGTGCCCTGTGCTGCCTGCTCACCGTCGCTCTTTGTTATTCAAATAGTGGGTTTATGGCACAGACATGCTTAAAATGAAAATAAGGCAACTTCCATTTCGTGCTGCTGCTGACCTTTAAGCACAGGCAGCTCCGTTCTGAGGTTCAGCAAAGCATTTGCCTCCCCGGGCACTGCTGTGCTCACGTTGCCTTTTGCTGTTCCCTTGAGAGGTGATGCTCTGCTGCTGGGTTGAAGCCATAGGTTTGGCCCTGGGACTGTTCACCCAACCATTGCTGGAGCAGAAGCCCTTGGTGCAAAGTGCCAGGACACCGCTTGTGCCGAATGGAGCCAAGATAGAGGCATGGTGATGAGCCCCTGGGGGCAGGGTGAGGCTGGGTGCGTTGTGGCTGTGGTCCCTCCATGCCACCCTAACCCCATCCCCTGCACCTGGGTCTGCTCCATCCCTGTCCCTTCCCTGCCAGCCTAAACTTGTTGGCAGTGAGGGCTGGCGCAACCCTGGCAGGGATTTTGCCGCTTCCATGCTACATAAATAAATAACATGTCCTTCGTTAGATGCCACTGCCTAATTAAAGCTGTACATCAGTGGAACAACTTGCAGATGCGGCATCCTCTGTCCAAGCTGGTTTCATCACTCCTCGTGGCTCTGCATACAGAAAATCCTCCCCCCAAATCCCTGCTCTCGCCTCCTTGCGATAGCATCTCTCTGTCGTCACCACCAGAGCTTTCTGGCACGCTCCAGCTCCTTCCCACCCCTGTCTGCTGCCTCTCCAGCCTCAGCTCTACCCATTTTCTCCCGAAGAACCACAGCAATGTGAAAAGAAACCAAATCCATCCCCTGCAAATGGGACTCCCAAAGGCTGTGGCAGGAGCTGGGCTGTGCCTTGCAACCCAGTGCTGACCCAGCTGGTCTGCGGCAAGCACTCACTCAGGGCAAGGATCTTCCCTGGCGAGTGAGAGCACCGAGTGCTTTGAGGCACTCCTTTCCTGTGTTGCAGTGAGTCGTGGAGCTCTTTTTAGCACAGGGGTGTTGCACAGCATGAATAATTCACCCAAGGGAGGATGGCGGCCCGTTTTGCAGGAGCTGCATGTGCTCGTGTGTGTGTGTGTGTGTGTGTGTGTGTGTGTGTGTGTGTGTGTGCACACTGACTTCGCTGCCTGGGAATGTAGGGCAGGTGCACACCTTGTGGGGTGAGCGCTGGGATGTGGGGGTTGGAGGAGCATTGCATTCTGCACCATGCACTGATATTTAGCGGGTAAATAACCTTCATGAAGACTGGAAGGTGGAAACGGGCCGGGGGATGCTCTGATTAATCATCGCTCTGCTCCTGCTGCTTCATTTTGCCTGGTTTGTTATGGCAAATTGCAGCCCCTGGGGCTGCCCCAACCCTGGATGAGGAGGAGGAGGAGAGTGAAGGGCCGGTGTGGAGTTCAATGAGGGACGGCAGCCACTCCCTGCTTTGATCTCCACTGTGCCAGGAGCTGCTTTTTTTGGGGGAAAAAAGAGCAATCTGGTTTATGTGCTCAGTTTGCTGGGCTGTGGGAAAGGAGTGTGCAGGATGGGAGCTCGTCTCTCCCTTCCCTGAGCTGCATCCCCTCAAGTGCAGCCGTGTCATCCCAGAGCAGCCGGTGGCGTTGGTCTGGGAAGCAGAGGAGTTGATGATCAGCTCCATGGTGGGGTGGTTTTTGGATACCTGCCCCCTGTTTGCAGCTGGGGAAGCAATAGTGTTGAGGTCTGAGCAGGCCCTGCAGCCCCCCCAGCCCCTGTGGTGCTTTACGCTCTCTCTAATTAAAAGCTGCCGTCCAAATGGCTCAATGATGGAAATTCTAATTAAATCAATTCCATCTTGTCGGTGAACCAGAGGTTTGCATAAGATATGCATGAAATTAATAATTATGGTTAGGGAATTAGCTGCTCGTGACCCCCTCTCTGGCTCTAGGGCGCCGGGGGGGCGGGGGAAGCTGCTGTGCTGAGTGTGGCTGTGTGCCCTGTGCGTCTCCTCTGGGGCCATGCTGAAGTTGTCACCTTTGTTGAATTCTTTCCAATCTGGAACAAATTTTGTTCCTCCACCCTTCGACAAGATGCTGTGTAAGCTTGTGAGCTGGTGGTAATGGGAAGGGTGTGAAAATTCAGTGCTTTTGTGGTAGAGGCATCAGGAGAGCGTTTGAGGTTGACCACAATGGCCCACTGCCATCTGCACTCCTCAGCCCAGCTGCTGCCTGCTTCCCTGCCATGCTTTCGTGCCCTGGGGATGCTTCTGGAGGCTGAGGGCATTTCTAAACAATGTTTATTGTGTATTTTTGTCCAAAGTAAAGGGGGAAGGAGTTTTGTTCCTCCTGTCCCAGGGTAACTGCTTGCTCTGCATGGGATAAAGGAGTCCTGGGATGCAGGAGATCTGATCCCACTCATTTCCCCACCACACTGCGGAGTTCAGCCTGGGTTGGGCACGACCCAGGTGAGGAGCTGGGACCCACACAGTGCCTCTGTGACTTCGTTCATTGTGCTGTGCCCGAACCTGCAGCCAAGATGCATCTCCAGCTCCCCCCCACCTGCAGCCGCCTTCTTTCTAAGAACCTCAAATTCCCTGCCTGCGTTTTGCTTTCATGGACCTGAAAGAACTTTTGTCTTTTATCTAAGAAAATAGCTGATGCCAGGAGTTGGGCTATTGTAAACCAGGAGATCAAAAAGGCAGAGGGGGAAAAAGGCAGAGGAAATCTATCAAATGGTCATTTGGGAACTGGTCTTTTATTTTCACTTCCATCCAGGGTGGTATAGTAAGAGAGAAAAGCTCTTTCAATTTGTTTATTAGAATCCAGCATCTTGCTACAGTCTGTGCATCAGTGGGTGTGTTCTAGGTATGTTTCTGAGCAGGGGTTGGACCAGGGATTAATCCCACACATGTTCTCCATGCAGAGCCCAGCATCTCTTCCACAGCCCTTGGTGGTTTGCATGGGATGGAGCTTGCTGGGGGCACAGCTGGGAGATCCCTATCTCTGTCCCCATTCCCATCTCCATATCATTCCATCCCCATTTCCAAACTCAACCCTACCCCATCTTCATTCCACTCCATCTTCATCCCATTCCCATCCCCAACCCCACTGCATCCCCATCCCCATCCTCATCCCCATCCCATTTTCAACGCCATCTCCAACTCCATCCCCCACCCCATCTTCATCCCACTCCATCCCCATCTCATCCCCATCCCATCCCCATCCTCATCCCCATCCAACTTCAACCCCATCCCATCCTCATCCTCATCCCCCACCCGACTTCAACCCCATCCCCTTCCCCATCTCCAACCCTATCCCCATCCCCTGCTGAGGACCTGTGGTTTTATTTAAACCATTTTATAGAGAAAATCTCCCCCTGCAAACCCACACAGGGAGAAGGCATGGAGGGACGCAGCCGTGCAGCCCAGCTCCCTTCCCAGACAAGTGATTGCTGGGCGCACACCTCGCCAGCTGAGCAGAATGTTAATCACACCTCGTGCACCGGCACTTGGTCACAGCTCCCCACCAAGCAGATCGCAGCCCCTCAGAAAGGAGCACAAAGCAGATTGTCACTGAGAATAATCCCATTTGTGTCCTGATAAAGGTTCCTTCCTCTCCTTCTCCTGCTCGTTCTCCTTCTCTCCCTTTTTTCGTCTCCAGCACTGCAGGTAGGTAGAGGGGTGCTGCTTCTTTCCAGGGACCGTTTAGCATTCAGGTGGAGTCGTGGATTTATAACATCAGGATCGCATTTAATAGAGAGTGAGAGCCTGGAGTAGCAGAGGAGAAAATAATAAAGAAGCAAAGAGAAAAGTGTGGTGCAGGCCAGGGGCACAAGTGGAGGAAAGATGAGGGGAGCTGGGCAGCTCTGTGGCTTTGGGGTGAGCCAGGGTGGGTCCTGCTCCACCTGTTGGGGCAGGGTTATGCTGGTACCTAGCCATGGAGTTATGGAGCATCATCGTTAGAAGTCAGGTACCAAGATCATGCTCCCAGCAAGGTGGCTTGGTCTTATAACATGCAGGAGGGTGCCTGCATGCCCTAAACCTCTCCCCATCCCGTCCACTCTGAGCTCTCCTCTGCTGCTGCAGACTGGCTCATTGCTTTATGAAGGAGTGGTGGTTGGTGAGCAAATGCAGCCTGGAAGCATCCAGCAGCATCCAGGTGCCTGCTGAGCCTGAGGGGTCCATGGAGTTCCCTGCAGCTCTCCACGGCTCTGACAGTGTTTGTTTTCCTGCAAGCTGCAATTGCTGAATTGTTCCTAAATTGAGATGAAGGGTGGAGGGGAAAAGTTCTTCAGAAGCTGCAGATGGCTGCTCTGCATCCGCTTGCCCCTGCATCGTGGGAACAGTTTGGGATCAGCGATGCTCGGGGTTCTTCCACTTGCAAAGCACAGTCCGTGGGCATGCAGGAGGGCAGTGGTGGCCCCAGGCAGGGCTGTCACCGCCCCTGCAGTGCTGTGACACGGTCAGGCTGCAGCTGGCTGAGCTCCAGCCCCTGCCGTTGTATTGCTGCGGAATTCCAAACCACGTCCTGCTTTTCAGCAGGGCTTGGCTTGCTGAGAGATGCTGATCTGCCTCTGGAGGGGAGTGTGCTACCTACAAGGTTATGGGATGTGGGGCCAATGGATGGGGCTGGAGCTGGTTCTGCTATGTTTTCTGTAGGGAACTGAGGCTGGTGGGAAGGACCTGGGCTTGATAATTTAATAAGCCTTTTCCATCTCTAAGATAAATTAACATCTGTGGTGTGTTTTGGAGATGTAAAGTGCTGCATAAGTGCTAAGTATCGCATGATCCTCCAGTGCTAAATCACTCTAATGTGCTGTGTGAGGTGCAGGAGCTCTGATTAATTTAGAAGTCTTGTTTACGGGTTGGTTGGACAGGGGTTGTCAGGGTGTGCTCACGTTGGTTCCTCATGGGGCAGGAAGCCAGAGGGAGTTCATAGTGTGGTGTCCAGGGCAGGAGCAAGGCTTCCTCTTTGTCTCTTCCATGTGGGCCCAAATGAAGCGTGGCAATGCCTTCTGAAATCGCTGTTGGGCATCTCTTTGTGTGATCCCTCAGCCTCCTCAGCCTTCTCCAGGTGGCACAGCTGGGATTTGGCCCTTGTTGTGGTGCTGGTCCCATTCCTGTGGATGCCCCTGTGCTGGCTGTTGGGGTGCAGAGAAGGTGCACATCCCAATGTCCGTGGGGTCTATCTCACAACGCCTGCACCCAACTGTGGATGGGTCTTGGTGTGGCACCAAAGCTTTTGGCTTACCACCAATACCTAGTGGAATTGGTCACCCCCCACCCTGCGGTTTCCCCTCTGTGAGTTGCTGGTTCTGGGTGTCGTGGAGCACTCTCTGTCCATCTGGAGTCCCACCTGACCTTGATGTCCACCCCCCGTCCTCTACAGCTTTGGGAACGTGGATAAGGCGAGGGCCTGAATTTTGCCTCTTTCTCCTGATGCTTTTTTCTTTCCCAACTCCATCCCAGATCCCCCAGATCAGCTACGCCTCCACTGCGCCAGACCTGAGCGACAACAGCCGCTACGACTTCTTCTCCCGCGTCGTCCCATCCGACACCTACCAGGCGCAAGCCATGGTGGACATTGTCAAAGCCCTCAAGTGGAACTACGTCTCCACCCTGGCCTCCGAGGGCAGCTATGGGGAAAGCGGTGTGGAAGCCTTCATCCAGAAATCCAGGGAGGATGGTGAGCAGCTTTCTCCTGGGATGGGGACTTGGAACAGAAAAAGCAATTGGGGAATTTGCAGCTTGTTTGGGAGAGGGAGGGATGTGTCTGGCTGGGCAGCCTGACCCGAAGTGTGGTTGCGGTGCATGAGCAGAGATGGATGTCAGTTCAGGGGATGAGCTGGGGGCTTTGGGGCTGCTATGGTTGCTGAGCTGTAAGGACATCATGGGGGCAATGTCTTCAGCCGGCCGTGTCCTGGCTGTGCGTCCCAGGGCGATGTGCTGACAGCTCCCCAGTGCCGGCGGTACGGATGGGAGCAGCCGTCTGTCTGCAGGGCAGGGTGGCTGCTGCCAGCTCCTTTCAGAAAGCATCCTGAAATCCCATTCCCTGCACATGAGGAGACCTCAAATCTGCTGGGTCGATCGCTGCCAAGTAAGTGCAAACCGATCCAACCCCCTCCCTCTGCACAGAGCTGGGCGGCTTCCAGAAGAAAAGACTTTTACAAATAGTCTCAGGTTTTAACAGAAAATAAAGTTGGCACTGGCGCACACTTCACCCAATTTTAGTGGAATTATCCTTGAGGGCAGGTGCTTTAACTTGTCTATAGGCTTTGGACAGGCGGAAAGTCTGCGCTCAGCAAAACTCTTTGCAAGGATTTGTCAGGAGCCAGAAAGCGTTTTGCTGACGGGAGCACCGGGGTGCTTAGGAGGGATTAACAGCCTCGGGAGTGCTGGAAAAGCTCGTGGGTATCGAATGGATGCTGAGCACCCGCTGGGGACTGGCTGAGAGGGGCAGGGACCCCCAGGCATTGCTGCTGTATTATCACAGTGAGCATCAGCGTGGGGAATGGTTCCGTGCGCCTCCTTGAGCCATCCTGAGAAACCACGCAGGGAGCACTGGGGCCAATCCTCACCCCCAGTCACTTCACCTCTGCAGCACTGCACGCACAGGGTGAGCTGGGAGCTGAGGAGTGTTTTCTGAGGCAGTTAAAGCCCTGCAGAGAGCAGGCTGCTGCCTATTACTGGCTTAACTGTGTTTGAATGGCACATTAAGTTCTGGCAAAATCGGTGGGACACCAGCCTATCTGGAGCTAGTCAAACTGTGTTATGGCCTTATAAATGGATAAAGGGAATAAAAACTTCTAGGTGACGAGCTCCTAATCAAAGCCCTATAAATAGGAACAGCGTTAATTCTGTCTCTCGCGCGCGCCGTGGCGCTGGGAACCGGCTGTGCTTTTAATATGCAGAGAAGCCCATCTGGGGATTCAACCTGGAAACTGCTCTTCAGGATTTCGACTTGAAAAGCAGAATATTTCCATGGTTCTCTGGTCCTGCAGGAGGAGTGTGTGAGGGTGTTTCAGAGCTGGTGGATGCGGTGACCTGAGGCTGTGTGTGTGGCTGCGCACAGCCTGTAGTGGGGATGTGGTGGAGTGGTGCTGGGGTGCTCAGTGTGCTGTGTGTGCAGAAACCAAGCGTGAGTGCAGGCTGCTGCAGGGGCTGCATGGGGCTGGGGGTGTGAAGGTTGGGCATGCGTGGTACCCAGGGGCTGCAGAAGTGGGGAACAGGGAGAATGATGCTCGTGATGCTGCAAGAGGTGCAGGGGTGGGGGGAGGGGAAGGGGTACCCAGGGGCTGCAGAGCTGGGGGATGTGGGAGAATGATGCTTGTGATGGAGGGGGATGATGCTCAGCAGTGAGACAAGGGCTGTGTCTGTGGCTCTGTTAACAGCTTAGCTGGTGGCTCTGCTGGGGCTTGTAAGTGCTAACTGCAGCCCCATCTGCCTAGGGATGATGGGAATAAAGCAAAAGCTACTATTCTGAGGATGAGGGGTATATTGCATGACATTAAGTGTGGTTTGCCACCCAAAATGGCTTGCATTGGGCTGGCAGGTTCTGCTGAGGTGCCCATGTCCTGTGGCAGGGGAAGGGCTGATGAGTGCTGGGTGATGTGGAGAGGCAGCATAGCATTGCACGGCCCAACGATGCTCTGCCAGCTCAGCAGCCCTCTGTGGGTCTGGGTGTGGGGTGGACGGAGCCAGGGGGACTGGGCACTATTCAGAGCCTCCATGACACACCAGTAAGGAGTGGTGTTGGGAGTGATGGTATCACTGCAGCCCTCCTGGTTGGAGATACCTGTGGCTGATGCACACTGCTATAACCAGATGGTTAATGATATGATGGCGTAATTGCAGTATAAACGAGTGTACAAGGAGCCGAAATGCACGCGTATTAATCCGGGGCTGAGGCAGTCCTGTAATTTGTGTATCCACATAACCCAACGATTATGTGCATTAGTGATAATTTAGTTATCAAAAAGCATAATTCCACTGTAATTGCGGTAGAACGGCGGCATAAGTGCAGCCCGTGCCTTATCAGCAGCAGCGCCGCTCCCCTGCTCGCTTCTTTACCAGCGCCGCCGTACATCAAACCCAGCAGCGCCGCGCAGCCGCTGCCACTCTGCTGCCAGCATGGGGTCTGGGCGGCTTCGCCAGCATCTCCCAGTGGGGCGTCCTCAGCGTTTCCTCACTCCTGCTGGAACGAGAACATGCTTTTTCTTTTCTTTTCTTTTCTTTTCTTTTCTTTTCTTTTCTTTTCTTTTCTTTTCTTTTCTTTTCTTTTCTTTTCTTTTCTTTTCTTTTCTTTTCTTTTCTTTTCTTTTCTTTTCTTTTCTTTTCTTTTCTTTTCTTTTCTTTTCTTTTCTTTTCTTTTCTTTTCTTTTCTTTTCTTTTCTTTTCTTTTCTTTTCTTTTCTTTTCTTTTCTTTTCTTTTCTTTTCTTTTCTTT